TGTTGATCAGTAAGGTTTTGATTTGAGCAGATTCACAAATTTTTTTACCAGAATAAAATTTAATATTATTTCGCTACTAAATTTTTTACTTGAGCTATCAATCTTTGGTATTATTTGTGATTCTAACTTAAAAATTATTGTTTCAAAAGTATTCACTCAAAAAACTGGAAAATTTAGTTTTAAAATTCAGAAAACAAACAGTAGAATGAGATCAGTAGCCTTCGTATGAAAACGTAATGTCATAATCAGGATATCTTTTCTTTAGTAAACTCACAGTTAATTCATGTTTTGCTGGACCATATCTCTAAAATAATGTATTTTAGTCTGAACAATTTTCCAATGAATTTTCCACTCTTCTCAATAACTAGATTACCAAAAACTAGAAACATTTGTTGAAAATTAATTGCAACTTAAATTAGTTTCTTTCAGCCTACAGAGCAGGCCTCTGATCCGTATGATGCAATCAAAACTATAAAAATGAAACAAATAAATTTGATTGCCTTAACATTACTCTAACTGTATGGAACTAACCTGAGAATATCCGTACACAAAAAGTTTTCTTTTTTCAGACTCATGTCTTATTCGGCCACCACCAACACACTTTAATGAAAAAGAGTTGCCGATTTCTTTCTCAGTAAGCTGCAATATATTTTTATGCCATTTGCAGCTCGTAAATCCTCGTACAATCAATTTTTCTTTACTAGTTGATTTTGATGTAACCTAAAAACACAATCCTTGAATGAAATACTGCTGCATAGGATACCAAAGAAAAACGCAGTAATGGAATGCTACGAAAAAAATAGTTACCCTGACTACAATGTACTTAAACACACCACTTGGGTCTATATTCACATCCGGAATATCATCTAACGACATATCCAACGTAACTCTAACCACCGGGTAATTCGGCTGAAATTTTAAGTAGAACCTCTAATAAAATTTTCTGAATTAAAAAAAAACTCATATATATACTCTATAAGTTTTTTGCTACAAAATGCAATATTTTCAAATGACAAAGGAAAATGTAGCATATTCTTGAAATATTTAAGAAACACGAATGTGACTGGACGTATCAGATTATAGGAAATTAAATGCAATCAACACACATGACCAAACATTGATTCATTAATTCAAATAATCATGATACGACGAATAATACTAAAGTTACAAAAAATTGTGAAAATGAATCAGAAATGCACAATAATTAATACAAGCAAAAATAAAAAAATTAAACGATCGTAAGACCCAACTGATTCTTAGCTGATTCTAGCAAGTAAAAATTCCCATTTCCAAATGATCAAAAACTTCCTATTTCCAACAAATATAAGTGATTACTATACTACTATAGTAATCTAGTAATCATTTATATTTTTTATTTGCAGGGCATTGATAAGTCAGAGTCAGTAAATTATTATTCATTCTACACAAAGTAAGAGCTCAAAAATAGCAACAAAGCAAAACTAAATGAATTCAATAGCCCTCATTGGAAAAAGTTATTTTGTAATCAGGGTATTTATGTTTCAAGATACTGACACTTTTTGCATGATCAGCTTGTCCATAACCCTGAAACTATAAATAGAATTGCACGAATGATATTACTGCAAATGAAATAAAAAAACAATTCGCTCTAGATAAATAACTAGAAATAATATTTAGCATATAACAGACAATAATATAAAGATTATTGTGCTAAATATGTATAATAATGAGGATCTGATGCTGTTATTATTATTCGCATTGCTAATAGAGTAAAAGAACGGTAATATAATCTCAAGTATTCAAATGCAAGCTGTTATCTAACAGTTCTTTCGATAACAGCTTGGATTTGAATACTTGAGAGTTCTGGTTGTGTTACTGTAAACTAGCTCACCTGAGAGTAGCCATACACCAATATAGAACTGTTTTTTGCATCATGTTTAATTCGACCACCGCCGACACATTCCAGCCCGAAATTCTTTCCCAATTCATTTTCACTTTCAAACAATATATCTCCATGATAGTCACAACGAGCATAACCACGAACGATCATTTTATCGGTTTTAGTTGATTTCTCTGTTACCTGAAATATCATTCTCTTACGCAACATTCACTTCATACATCACATCATCGTTATTCTTAATTACAATCAGGGAAGAACTTAAGAAACAATTTGAACAACATCTCTTTTCTTAAACTGAAAAATCCTCATATGAAACATATTCATGCACTTAATATCTAATAACAGTTGACCATTTGCCTTGATTAATATATATTTGAAAACACCATCTGGATCAATATCAACATCAGGAACGCTGATTAACGACATTGTTGCTCTATTTTCAAGCGACCTCACAAGTCTTAATCGCGTTGCGAATTGAATGAAACGGAGAATTTTCCTGTACAAAATCCATAGTCCTTTATGAAGCAAAACAATACGAAAACTATATAACACTGTTAATACACTCCGATCAATAATATTACCAACCGGAGTGTTTTTTTTAAACTCTAGTAACTCTATAAAAACTTAAATAACAAAACTGAATATAATTAAACGATATAAAACGTAGGCCACCCAATAATTTAATAACGAAGTTTCATTTCTTTTGAGATGACGTCTACAATCAATAGTCAATAACAAAAAACAAGACAGAATCCGAAAAATCCTCACAAAATGCAATATCATTTAAATATTTAGTGACGAACGAAACTAAACCAAAAAATAGACCAACACATCAATCATTCCGTGAAGACTTGGTAATAAAACCAAAAACAATTTATGCTAGATACCAAAGTACTGCGGTCTTTTAATCAACGGTGAGACAAATTCAAGGCAACAATTCGTGATAAACCATAGGTACAGTACTTATAATTTATTAAGAAGCTGAAACACCCCAAAATTCTGTTTTATTTCTGTAATGCATCAATGAAAAGCTGAAAAACATTCTTACTCTTAGTTAGAAAAAATCTACTAATATTATCAGAGGTTAGCTCTAAAACTACCTAACTCACTCCATTTTGTAAAGTCACCGGTAATTCCAATATTTCTTATCGCTTGATTTTGTAAAGGCCATCGATTTGGTCATTTCGAAAATTTGTAGCATTCTCAATAAAGATATATGAGTTTTTCTCTCGCTTTAAATGATCACTGATTTCTGTAAATGACGAGAATGAATAAACAGGAGGACTAATTTTAATACAAAATGTATTAATTATGAAATTAAAAGTAGTGTAAAAATATAATCAAGCCCGAATTAATACTATTTAATTCTTCTTTAGGGCATAATTAAACTGATGCTCGAAGTTCCTAGCTGCTCGAGCTTTTCGAACAGATTCCAACGTTTCATACACACGTTTCATTGTATTTTTGTTGAATAACTTTGCCTGCAATATAGCCTCAAAACATTTTAACAAATATAAATTATTTGCTTAAATTTTTCGAAGTTTATTAATAATTGATACGCATTAATAGAACAAATCAAAATCAAATAAATAAAACATCAATTTTTAAAATATTTTTTTACCATCCACATATTTCAAAATATTGTTAGTTTTAAACATAAAATAATAAAATTAATAAATCAATTTCAATTTATTCCTAACTATCGGCAATAAATCAACATCATTCAATAACTCAGAATTTAAATTACGAAACACAAAGTTCATAATTTGGAACTCCTGTGACATTGTGAAATGTTTTAAATAATTTGATATCCTCGAAAAACTTTGTTCAAACAGTTTTTTTTCTGCGATTTTTGATTTTTTCATGCCAGAAAACCAACAGGTGTTTTTAACATATAAGTTAAAAAGTACTTACACTCAATCTTTCTCTCACAGAAGCAGATTCACTTGATTCGCCTTCTTTTCGCTTCCTTTTTTTCCCATGTCTTACCTTTCCACTCAAATTAGCTCCTGTTCCAGCCTCAACATCTTCAATATATTCCTTTTCATCTTTCAAATTTTGCAAAGAAACATCAGGTTTTCTAAAAACAAACACAAGTTATAACTCGCGCATATATGCTTTTCGTTACACAGCTAAATATAATTATAAGAAAGTCTTTACAACAGATGGAAGTATATTGGAAATGAAGAATTTCGAGAAAAAGAGACAATAAGCAACCTTTCACAAACAGACACCTATGCTGACCTTAATCGCCAATAATCTGTCACAAATTAATTTTCATTCGCTAATAACAAGCAACATCTGTGGTTTACATAATTTCTTACTCAAAGCTTATTTTTCAAAACATACTCTAAAATTTGGTCCACAGGATAACCCATTTCATCACGATCAATAATTTTCCCATGTAGTGGACAACGTTTGGAATCCATTCGTGGACAAAGGGTTCCATCACGGAGTGGTGCACGACATTGCCGGCTATTTTTCTGGTGGTGACCAGCAAAAGTTATAACTCGCGCATGATATGCTTCTATACTATCACAATTCGTTACACAGCTAAATATAATAATAAGAAAACCTTTACAATAAATGAGAGTATACCGGTAATTTTTTCTCAGAATGAGATAAAAGTGACGTCATAATCAACCTTTCATCCGAAGGACGCCAAAATCGATGGCAGTCAGAATTATTTCGTGGTATTTCTGCAGGCTGAACATCATCTTCCCCCCAATATTTAAGATCAAGCCCATATGATAAGATTGGTATGTCTCTTGTATTGTTTCCAGCTTCTTTAGGTGCTAAAAACTCTAAACAAATTGTAATTTTAAAGCATACTTTGAAAATTAAAACTTGATCTTTAGGAGATATAATTTATAATTTTAACCCTGTTCAGAAATCTGATTTTTGATCTTAACTATTCCGCTAGAACTGCTACCATCATCTTTCGTTTTGTCCATAGTTTTTCGCAGTATATAATCTGGTACGTCTTCTGGTGGTTTGAAATTTAGCTCTAAACCTAAAATTTACGAGAATATTAGTTTAATTTACACACTTAGCAGAAAATCACCGGAAGAAATGAAAAACAACTCAACCTTCTTTTTCTGGCACATCTTCAAAATCATCGCTGTCTGAATCGTTATTAACATGCTTTTTTTTACCAGACAATTTCAGTTCTTCACATCTGAAAGTTCGACACACTGCATAACTCACTTTATGAGAAATTTTCGTTGAACTGATAAATAAATCATAATCCATACCTCTTTAATTCAAAAGCAATTCTACTTTTCAAATCAACAATTTCGCAGCACAGATTCTGTGCATTATTGCCACAGTATTTGGTTAATTTACAAAGCCAGTAGTGAATATTTCTGTGGTAAAACTGTAACATTTTCATGCAGTCCAACAAAGAGTTTATAACTGCTTCATTCTCAACACTGACATTTACAACTGGTGCATTCAGCGTAAGAGTTACAGTAACTGATTCATGAGCATTATATGCATGCACCTAAAAGTTTTAAATCATAATAATTACCTTTAAAATATTTTCGTATACAATATTTTATTTGAAAAAGACTTTTTTTTTGCAATAGATGAAACTGATATTAAAGAACAACCGTAATATGCTTGAAAAAATTAAGAATGTAACCTTGTTCCGAGAAAGTAATGAACTGTCAGTATCTGTTCTATTTCCAACATCAAATCGTGGTACCAAAAGCTCAATTGATTGTCGCGTTTCATTTATACACTGTATGATATCATTTTGACGTTCTCGGAAATCTTTTTCGATTTTTTCCATCACCTGTTTACTTTTCTCTTCTTTCCTCCGTTCCTCTTCTGAAGCACGCTGTCTTTCAACCTGAAACCAAACAATTCAAAACGATCTTTAAGAAAACTCGTGAGAGAGTTTGCTTAACTATTCAGTTTTATTAGATTTTATTATTTAAATGCTGAATTTATGATGATAAAAAAAAAGTTTGAGTTGGAGTAATGAAAAATTATGAGTAGAAACCGCTTAATTTAACATTAAATTACTCAACAAGAGTAGGAATGCTCATACTAATTCAAAAACGATTACCTGAAGTTCAGCACTAACGTTTTCCAAATCCAAAGATTTTGACGAACGCAAAAAATCGATGGCGAAATCTAATCTTGGATATGCCTCCCTATATTTTTCATGCCACATTTTTAAAAGTTTCAATGTTTCCAATTTAAGAATTTTGGCAATTTCTTTTGGAGGAGGCAGAGAATAATGAATTGGATCGATTTCAGCCATGTGCAACAGAACTTGCTGAAAAATATTTGTAATGCCATGTTCGAGATCAGCAAAATGAAAAATACACTATCGAAGCTTAACCCATAAATTGATATGGTAACGATAGAAAATTGTTTAGTAATTTTCTGCTTTATTCTTCTTCGTAAGTCTTAAACAACTGAACAAGTTTTTATGCCTTAGTACAAACCTGAAAGTTATTAATCAGTTGAACACGAAAAAGATGAGATCGTTGAAAAAATTCATTGCACAACAGCAATATAGCTAAACGACATTCACAATCTTTGCTCCGAAAATGAGTTAAAAAATAAGCAAATGCATGCTGAATTATATCCGGATTGTTTCTTATAATCCGTTTCAGATCTCTTAACTCGTTTTCAAGAAATGACCGCTTTTTCAAATCGAACTGAAAACAAAATCTATAATCATAAGAAATGAAGAAATAAGTGAAAAATTAATGAAAAATTAAGTAAAGCACAGAAACCATCACTAAAAGCAACTAGTACACAAATTTAGTGATGGATACTTTTTCACACCCACCTCTTTTAATCAAGATACTAAGTTTGTTAACAACATTTATGTTAACTTACTAAAACTAATAAAAGGAATTAAAGGGAACCTAAATAATACTACAGTTACAAAAAGTTGATTTCCATCAACAACTTTTATCAAAATCGAATCAGATTCAAATTCATTTCTTGAGTACTACGTTGAAAAATAATCATAAAAGTGAGAATACTAAAAACGTATCAGAACAAAAACTACAAAAAACCAACCTCTCTAACTAATTTAAATAAAAGTTTTTTGCATGTCTTCAGTTGAAAAGATTGATTTATTTCCATATCATGGAATCTGAAATTTTTTAATTTATGGATGAAAGTTCCATCCACATTGTATAAGAAAATATATATCTTACAGTGACAGATAAGATATGATACTTAAGAAGCAGCAATTTTTGACAGAAAAGCAAGATGATAAATGAACATAGAGGACTCTTTATCAAACTTCTAAACGACTTTCAAAGTTAATTCTTCCTAAAAATATGAATTTTTCATCAAATCGTAAATACTGGTACCTAAAAATATTTTTGAAAAAAATAAGTCGACTTGTACGAATTTCACGATTATTTGTTCTGAAACTGATTTGACAGATTTTGTGAATTTAATTTAATTACAATAAAATAATGCTTAGCATACAAAAATGCTCTCTACCTCTGTCTTCCATATTTCTTTGCTTTAAATTTCCATTTTTTGTTGTGCTGAATTAACAAAATTGAAAGTTTTTATTCTGTAATCTCAAGGATTTCTAGCAGTTTTAACGTTAAAATCACGGAAAAATTACGAAACTATAAAGTTATACATGTAAAATAATCAACGCAATAAATGTATAAAAGTTTGACTGTTTGATGGACAAGAAACTTATACGTCACAGTATGACCCATTACTAAGAACAATGCGAACACATGCGTATTTCTCGTTCAACTAAAAATTGGTAATACTTTTGACTTTCTGGACGTATGTAGCTAAAATTTGCAAGTTGCTCTCAAACCTGCTTGATGCAAAACTCTGTTGAAATGTGAAAACACTTCATACAAATGGTTACCAGAGTTGCGATAAGTATGGCTGCCACGTGTAGCAGTAATTTGAGAAATGTTTCAACGTGTAGAAAATTCTTGCTGTGAAAAAAAGTAAGGTGACGTAGATCACCTGTAACAAGTCGAAGTGACGTAAAAAAAGTCTTCGAATTACATGGAGACATCTTGCACGTGGAAATGAAGCAGAAAAATTCAAAATTAATTGTAGTAATATGAAGACTTTTACGTAAAAGAGATGTGAAAAAGTTTCAAAGTTTTGGCGCTTTTTGTGCGTTGGAATGAAAAAAGTTTATCAAGAGCCAAAATTATTATTGTATTTATTGTGAACATCAAAAATGATAATAATAAAAAGAAAAATCGTAGAAAGTTAGCATAAGTATTTTTGATGCGTTAAACAAGTATGAAATGATATTAACGTGTAGTATTGATGTTTTCTGAAAATCTAGGTAACACTGAACAATCTTGAAATGTTTAAATAACATAGAATATTTTTGAGAGACAATTGTGAACGTTTGAATGAAATATTTATCATATTTCTTATTTTAGCCTTCAAACTTGATCGTTAATTAAGTTTTCTTAGTGCAATATTTCTTACTTAGTTTAAAAACAGCAAAATTTTCAAATGAAATTCATCATCTCATAAAGATTTGAATTGATGATTTTAATCATAACCAGATTAGTGATTTTTGTTATTAATTAGCAACAATTGTACCTAAATATCTTCCAGCTTTTGTCATTGTTTGCTTTGAATTTATGAATTCAAATTAAGCAGTCATGAAAATAAATTTACAATTTACAGGTAGTGTTTAGAAGAGACTAAAATATGAATGATTTCATCGTTTCCTCTGACAGATATTATTATTTATATACTGTATTATTTTTATTGAAATGCTTATAAAAAGTATGCAGCGATAACAATTCAGTATTGGAGGAGTTTTATAAAAATTAACACTGGTGATAATAATTTCAAGTGATAACAGAGAAGAGCAGAGCAGTTGTATTTGCAAACGTACAATATAACTTCTGATGCTCATTCCACGTGCTTAAATTTGATCTATTTAATGCCCAATCACCCTGAAATATGTTCATTTTGTGCATTTCTTTTGTCTTATTTTCATATTTCAAAAAATTGAAGTTTGTTTTTAAGCAATATAATTTATCATATCAGAACTTTGATAGCTTGGGATTAATCCATTTAATCAGAATATTAATTAGTCAAAATTAATCAATTTAATCAGAATATTAATCATTTTTGAATGGTAAATTTGGTATTTGAAGACTTACTAATGTACTCTATAATATTGCTAAAAACTTGATTTGGAACTACTGCATAGAGTCATAGAGTTTGTTTTTAAGCAATGTAATTCATCATATCAGGATTTTAACAGCTGGGACTAATCAATTTAATCAGAATATTAATCAACTGGAATTAATCAATTTAATCAAAATATTAATCAATTGGGATAATATTTTTATTTATGTTGCAAGGTCATTGTGTACACTAAT